GATTTGAAACTGTCTCATTGCTATCTGTTTATCAATAAAACTTTGAAAAAAAAGACAATAAACTAATAAATAAACAAATAAATAAAATGCAAAAAAATATATAAAGGAGGTGTGACAATATTGAATCCACAGAACTTACATTAGAAATATATTTATGTATATATACTAAAATATTAATTAAAAACAACGGAAATGTACACAATGATGACATGATCAACTAAACTTTTGTTGAGACACACAATAGAACACTATCCAATTATTTTTAAAAGTAAAGAAATGAAGGCTGGGGGTAGACCTCTGGGTAGGAATATCTGTGCTGGGCCCTGAGTGCAATCCTCCACATAAAGGGAAAAGGAAAGGAAGATTTTCAGAACATGGAAAAATGCACAATTCAGTGGTAACTAAGGAAGCAAGATAGAAGGGACACAAGAACAAGTTCCAACATAACTCTAGAGCTGAGAATGATATCATTTATGCTATGGGGAACCTGGCAACTTTTCCTCACTAAATATATGCAACAAATATTAGAAATAAAGAATAAGTGCTCAACAAAAGTTAAAACAAACTAAACTTTTAATTTTCTACCACTAATACTTCATAACTACATTATTTAAAACCTATTCTGACACAGTTCTCATTTCCTATAATTATGCATTCCATTTACATTATTTTAAAGGATTTAAGTTTACATATTAATTCAAAGCATTCCAAAGTTTTTATTCTTGCATTTCATTCTGGATTTCTAAAACAGAATGTTTTTTTCTATAGATTTTCTAAACTCACAGGTGTAACAAAATGAATGTGAATGCCATGCTGGCCCCACCCACTGGGTGTGCGAGCCACCCATGGAGTCTGGGCGTGGTAGTGCACACCTATAATCCCAGCGCTGGGAGGCTGAGAACAGGAGGATCACTGGGAGTCCAAGCTGCATAGTGAGATCCTGTACCAAATATATTTTAAAAAACAAGCAAAGTGGTTCATTTCTATGAATTTCTTTAGGTGTAATGATATCTCTGTATCTATCTAGCCTTCATCTATATTTCTATAGCTGTATTAAATCTACAAACCTTTTAATTTATAATTTAAGAGTTACTCTTAAAAAGCCCTTGTCAAGCCAGGATTATGTATGTTTTAATATTGATTTGAATTTTGCTATTTATGAATGAGTATTTTGCTTCAATTTTGATTTACTATATTATATGAAGTAGATTACTAGGCATTCATTTTAATTGTTAAGCTAAACAAGTTACTGGGGGTTTTTTTGGTTTTTTTCTGGCTGGCTCAGAATGCCTTCAGGGCAGGTTTGGCTGGCTTGGGTTCTGGGGATC